AGCGGGGCTCTGACCCACAGCACTGGCAGGGAAACCTGCTCCTGCTTGCTGCTCTGGGCTCAGCTCCAATTGTTCTGTCACCATACAGTCCCTTCAAGGCAGATGTCTTGGGAAACACCGCATCGGGACAACAAATCCCAACCAGGCTCCACATGGGAGTGGAGAGGACATGGATCTAGTGCTGAGCTTCTCAGCAACGTGCAGGGCAGACCCCAGGCTCTGGCTCCAGTTTATAAGGGTTCTGAGACCTTTGTTTTGTGCCTTGTGTCCAGCGGACTTTCCCACAAGACCCTCACACACACATGCACACACCTTTCCAGCCTGGCAGCACTTCCCACACTCTTGCTGCAGATGTCAGAGATGGAGCAAGGGGGAAAAGCAAGTAAGGATCAGCACTGAGGGCTTGCTCTTTTATTTTTTTTTTTAAGCTGAGAAGGAATTTCCTTCACACAGGCATTTGAGGGAACGTGCTGAAAATGTGTCTGGACTCAGAGCAAACTCTGAGAGGCTGGACAAGTCACATTCAACACCAGATCTCATTTTGCAGAGAAGACTTTCAAATCTCAGCTGCCTGGTCTACGCAGGGACGACCAGAAGAGACATTTTCACTATGGAGGAAGGAAGGTATTTAGTGCAGGTGAAGTCTACAGCTAACAGATTTGCTCCTCCATGGCATTTCAAAGGCACATCTTTTCATTTGCATAGTCTTGGCTGTGGTGCTTGGCAGGCTGTTGCAGGCTAGTTGGAGTAAAGATAACAAAGAATTTTCTGACAGCATTAGCTGGTATTTGCTGACATAAGGCCTACCCAAGGGGTTCAGGCACCTGCAGAGCTGTTTGTTAAAGAACTAGAGGTAAGAGCCACAAAATTCAGCTATAGACCTGCAGGCTGGTCTGCTCTGTGGGTTTGCTCCAGTCGAAAACCTCAGGAGATTTTGCTATGCCTGTATTTAGGAAGATTTTATTAGTTTAATCTCAAAAGACATTGTGAATCTCTAGCTAACATCTGTATTTCTCAACAAACAGATGGAAGTCCCAGAGTAAATTGAAATATTTCTTGGTTGAACCAGCACTGCCTTGGCACCAGGACATGTGCATGGCTCATGTCAGAAGCTCAGAGCTGAGGGTGCAGATCCACAGAAGTGTAAAATTATTTAATCTGGACTGCCCTTGAAGGCCTCTGTGCCTCATTGCTCCACAGCTGCTTATTGCTGTCTTCCTCCCAAGCCTGTGCTAACACCCAGTACCTGCCCAACAGGCCAGAGAGGGGAACCTGCTTGCTGTGAGAATGTTCAAGTATCAGCAGGGAGAAAAAACAGACAGGTGGGGATGAGCAAGAGCATAGGAAATGTGACTTAGATCAGTTTAAAAGGATGTAGAGCACCACTTTGACCAGCATTTCTGCTGCCGCTACGTGTCCCGTGGCAGGTTACTAGTTCTGGCTTCCCTGTCTGTGTGGGGACAACTTGGGACCCTTCTGAGATTCCTGCATGGGAAACCAGTAGGAACTGCAGGACTGGACTGTAAGTGAACTTGAAAATCAATGCAGTTGCTGTTGCACTGTCACAGGCAGACTATTCAACTTACTTGGCACATCACAGCGTGATTCTGCTGCCTTGGGAACATCCACTTTCCCATGAGGTGCAGACTGGAGAAAACTAAGTGCCTGGCCAGGGCCTCTTTAACTTGACACTCAATGTTACATTTTCTGTTTGCATAAAACACTTCTCTGTGCCTACAAACTGCAGGGATTGACATCTCTCTGCACAAGAAATGCACTTTCTAATATGAAATTAACTTAAATAGCCTAAAACAAAAGAGGGCTTTAAGGCCATCTGCCTCAATACAATCCCAAGACCATCCCAAAGACAGCACATACTCTGCAACAGCCTCTACATAGTGGTTTTGGTTCATGCCTCACTTCTGAATCATTCCACGTTTCAGGGCTGCAGTGCCACAAGAGATGACTATCCCTCATCTTTGCTCTCAGGCCCTAGCTGAGTAAGCAAAGGGAGACTCATCAATAACAACAGCTGCTCAGAGCCTGGAACCCCACTGGGCAGCCCCAGTGTCACCAGTCAAGGAGAATGTCACGTGCTCCTTCTTATTCATCTCTGGCCTTTTCTCATCTATTGGTGTTCATGTTTCCATAGCCTTATGTGC